AAGGTATGCAGAAGAGCATCTCTGAACAGACAGCACATTAAACTTTAAAGCAAAAGGCCATACTGGGTGTCACTCCTGTCGGATAAGAGCAGGAAACTGAGGCTATAATTCAGATGGATTCAACAAACTGAATAGAAGATTTGATGTATAAAATAATGGATCAGTTTTAGCTCATTTATTTCATTTAGCTTTATATGAGTGGTTCAGAATGCTGATGCTGTAATGGTATGGGGGATATATTTCTTAGCACACTTTTAGTCTCTTAGCTCAGGCCAAGGATCATTTAAACACCACAGCCTACCTGAGTATCACTGCTGACCATGTCCATCCCATTATGACCACAGTGTATCTTCTGCAGGATAACGCACCAGATCACAAAGCACAAATCATCTCAAACTGGTTTCTTGAACATTATGGTGAGTTCACTGCAGTCAAATGGCCTCCACAATCATATCAATCCAATGCATTACCTTTGAGATGTACTGGAAGGAGAGCTTCATATCACAGACATGCAGCCAACAAATCTGCAGCAATGTCTGATGATGCCATGTCAGTATGGAACAAAATCTATGAGGGATGTTTGTTTCCAACCTAGTGTACTCGACTTGTAACTAGTGAAGTGGCTGGTCAGGGTAGTTTCCCAGAGCTGAGGTATGATTGTGCGATGCAGTTGTTCAGCTTGTGAGCTTGAAAAACCCCCATGGCATTAAAAGAACAGAGCTACGCAGATAGCTAATGCTTAATTCTAAACCATATTCTATTGATGAATAAAAAATATCATTTTTAATGATTTTTGTTTGGTTCTCCACTAGCATCAAGACAGTCAACAACATGATCAAAGCCACAGCTAAATTCAGCACAATGTAGCTTTATAACTACCCTCAGTTTTTGACTCTAGTAAAAATTATGCACTTTGCTGTGAATCTCTACAGTGAATCTAATTTTGAAATGTATTAAACTGTATCTTGTTCATCCAGAAGCCACGAGAATCAGAACAAAAACAGCCTTGCTGGTATTCAGGGGTCAAGCAAACAGGTGGTCAGAGGCTAGTCATGCTCCAGGTGACCAATAGTAAAGCCCATTAGGGGAGGAGCTCGGAGGGTGTGCACCAACTTAAAACTGAAGTTTTATGCAATAACTGCTATTTTTATAGCAGAACCTTTTCCAGAGCCATTTACCTGTCCCAATTTTCCCCGTGCCACCCCAGTGTAAGTAATGGCTTCAACCTGTCCACTCCAATAAAACTGTCTGGCTCCATCACTGCTGGAATTACATTCCTCAGAAAGTATAGGCCTGTAAGTGTATAAAGTGTATTAATACCAGTCTAAAATGCTAACTGTCAGGCTTTATACTATGATAATTTTACAACTAGTAATCTTAACTTGCTCTAGCACACTTGAATTCTTTACACCGTGATTTTAATGGTTGTTCTAACATGCATGCTGATTTATAACAGAATTATAAACCCATCTGTTTAAAATTAATTCGAAAAATAATTCTATGCTGCAGTTAAAGTGCAAACATCACATGCAGAAATACTTCGTCAGTAACGGTCTTAAGTGACACGATAAGCTGGTGGTAAGACATCTTCTTGAGTCATGGGTGAAGCTGGTTTTCTTTTCCAACAACAAGGCTGCAGTCTATTGTGATTTATTTACCCTCCAGATGTGTTTACTTAAAAATACTTAGAGAATAGATTAATCTGTGAAGCAGGGACCGAAACAGTGAGCTCCCCTACTTTGTGGATCGTCTCTAATGGATAAAAGAATAAACCCTTATCTCTGCCTTACAATGCGTCTGTGTTTTTAAATCATTTATTGCTGGTTTGTTTACCGCTTAAATGCTGCAAGAAACTGAGAATCTGAGAGTTTAACGTGTGAGTTGCGAAAACTGTTAGAGAGTGAAAAAAAGGGCACCTTGAAGCCTTTCAGATCATTTTGTGGTCACAAAGGGCCGTGTTGTTTACAGTGATGTTCTTTTACAGCTGTGGTCATGGGGTTTAGTGCTAAACATTAAGGAGGAAACACAATCAAGTGAATATGATCACAGGATTCTCTGACAGCTGACCTCTGCTCGAGAAGAAGGCAACAAAAAGAGGCCACAGAGCTATTGATTAAGACAACAGAGCGCCGTCTGTCTCTGCTGGACTCTACACTTCACTGCTCGTAATGACGTACCGAAGAAAAAAAATCATTTATGACCTACATGGAGGGTCAGCTGCCATCCCTCGGTGCAAGACTCAAGCCTGGTGCACATCAAACAGGCAGTCTGATCCTTATTCCATCTAACTATAATCCAATTTCTTCAGTCTTTAAACAACTGTTTGAATTAATTATTTTACTTTAACGAGATAAAGACATAAAACTGAAAGAAAGCAAAAAAGAAATTCAAAAGAATTCATCTTCCCTGCTGATTAAATCACGCTGGCTTGATCCACATGAATCTAATTTATCAACAAACACAAAGGACAATATACAATTAGAGGAAAACGGTATTATCTGGAGAATGCGCTAAAAGAAAGCAGAATCATTCTAAATAGCTACCCAGTCACTTGAGGAGGCAACGGAAATAAAAGAGAATAGTCTTTAACAAGACGCGGGAGCTCAATAAGCAGGCAAACCTTCCTTGAGGCGGTCGGAGCGAAGGGGAATACACAATCATCTCCTTTCTGATGTGCTGGGGTTAGAGAGGAGGGCTGGGGATCACTTTCCGGCCAACGCAGTTGGAGCTCAGAGGACGCCCTCAACTGTATTTGTTCCACTTGATTGTCATAAAGGAATCACACTCCCCAATTCACCATAAAGTCAGCAGACTTTTTTTTGGGGGGGGGGGGAGTCATGCCCCGCTTTGCATTCAGCACAACTGTTCTCTGAGGCTTCTTTAATATGTCGCTGTGGGTGCGTAAATCCACAGAGTGAGGACATTTATTTTATGTGTGATTTCATGCCTGCGATGAAATAAACAGCCTTATGAATGCAGGCTTTAAAGGTGGTCAATGATGAAAACGACGGGAAGTGATAATTAAATAACATCTGAAGAAAAGGAGTGGCAAAATCTTATTTTAGGATTAGCCGATGAATCCATTACTACAGATGTTTTGATATCCAGTTAATCATTTTAGTCATTTCTCAAGGAAAAAAGATTTTCTGGTGACAGCTTCTCAAATATGTGGATTTTATGCTTTTCTTTGTCCTTTATCAAAGTAATTAAATACGTTTTGATTTGAGGCTTTGGTCCATGAAAGCAAACCATTTGAATACATCACCTTGGGCTAAAGGAAAATTATTTAGTTTTAGGTTTTTTTTATTAGATTTTTTGGGGAAACAAATGAAAGTAGTACACGGCCAAACTGAGTGAAAGCTAAAGAAGAACAGACCGGGAAGAAATGACTATTCTAGTTTATCCTTCAAAACATTACATTTTTTTCATTTCCCTTTGAATCTACCCGCAAAAACACCCACAGGGTATCTACCTGCATTTATCCTCAGTAGATTTGCAGCTTAAAACAGACTAGCGCGCCTAGTAACGGTCTCCACACCTAACAAATACTTGATATCACATCCTTTAGCACATCTTCTAATAGCCATATGCTTTGGAACAAATGAGTTCCTGCTCGTTCTCCTCCCCATCTCCACCCACTACTATCACAGCAGCTGAATCAAATATTCGTGTTGGAGGGGAAAGCGCTTAACACGTTGTTGTTATCTGAGAAATCAGTCATGCAGTTAATTGTTGTTGTAAAAGGAAAATCTTGCAAGATTATGAAGCTAATAGTCATTATGCATGCATCGTTTTTTTCCCCTCCCCTCTCCTAGCTGACCCCAGAATGATAAAGTGTTGCCTATGGAAAGAAGATATTAGGTTCTCCAAAGAAAAGCGAGGACAGGCGGTGTTTGTGATAGTTTAGAGTGCCCTCTTGATGGCACTTTCCTTTTATGAGGCAAATGATCTGAATAACAGGGCCCGCCGCTTGTAACGTTTGCACATTAGGTCATGGCTGTGGTTTCTACAGTATCAGCAGACCTGTGGTGACTGCAGTTTAATGTCCTTCTAGCTGCACCTGCTTTTCAGCGAGGTTGAAGAGCCCTGGAGCCACCTGGCCCAGTCCAAAGAGCTGCAGCGAGCACCTGGAATAGCTTGACGATGACTCAGAGCGAGGAGAATCTACCTACAGGGGAGTTCAGCCCCTCGCAGCTAGAAAAACAAGTGTCTGTTTGTCAGATCACATCTTTCTGGTCTGCAAGTTTGGGGCATTAGGGCAAATGGGAGCACACTCTGGGGTTTGTTAGAAAGAGTTCAGCTTTGACTGTATCCCTGAAGGCATTGCACTTTTTTTTTTCGGGCTCTAATCTCTATCTGCTTCAAGACGGCATATGGTAAAAGACAACAAAACGTAGCCCGGGGAAGTCTATTTAATCCTTTATGGCAAGCATCCCAGAATTCAAGGAGGTCGTCAAAGCAGATGCAAATTTGATCTTTCTGCAAAAACATATTAGAACCTGGAGATCGGTATGCCCTGGCACCCTGCAGTGATTGTTGTGATTGAGCAGGAACATAAAAGAAAGACAACTTTGCTTTGGTTTATCTACTTTGATGGCACGGGTTTCAAAAGCGAGGACGGCTTTCTATAAGAACAACTCCCCTCACAGTTACAGCTTACACAAACTCGGGCAAAGAGGGTGTCGCGGGCCCTCGGAGGGTATAACAAGTGAGTGCAGATCAATATAGCCAGTATGTGTTAAATTTCAAGATTGTTTGATGCCTGGACAGGTTCACAGGGAACAGGTTCAGGCCTGATTCAGAGCTGAGTCACCTCTCTCCTCATTTTTTCCCTTTTTGTACATCTTCATAGCACGGGATGGCGCAAGCCGGATTATATATCATTTACTTTTGTGGTCGTTATTCCATTTGAAGCGTACGACGATCAGTCAAAGGAGCTGCTCGTAAATCAAAGAAGGCTTGACAGAGGAAAAAGCAACTCATGCACGATGCCAAAGGAATTATACAAAATGTCATGAAACTTTATTTTCAAAAGTGTCATGATAATATGAAAATATCAAAATCATTTAGCATCACAGTTTTCACTGTTAATATACAATCATCTCAGTCACACTTACATTCAATATATAAAAATAGAAAAAGGAACCTGTCGCTGGAAAATGCATATTATTGCTGAGTAAATCTGAGGCACTTCTATTGCTTTCTGAGTGCTGGCGAACTGTTTCTAAAGACTGTGCAAAAGTTATAATAAATTCACCCTAAGTCTAAGTTTGCACTTGTTCCCTATCTAGCAATGGCTTCAATATTCCTCTGGTTATACTGCCATTCATTCAAAATGCACCTTTTGGTATTGCTTGTATTAAAAAAAACAATAATAAACTGCTTAACAGCCATTGAGAGAGACATTGGTACAAACACTGTAGATAACATTGTGAAGGCATATAAAACTTCTAGACATGCAGAAAAGTGCATGAATAGCACAGGTAGGTGAGTACATGGTTTGACAAAGCTCGACACTGATTGCAATCACAGAAACACTGCTTGAAACGAGAGGCTTGCGAGCACTGAGCTATTTCGCACTCTGAAATGAAATCGGCCGGTAGTAGAAGAAAAAAAAAAAAGTCTGTAAATTTGTGAACAAACCCACTTTGGTGTGATTCCCTGACAGTTCTCCTGGGTTTGGGCAAAAAAAACAATAAAGAAGAAAGAGAGGAGGGTGTTTTTTTCTTTCGTTTGTTTTTTTGGTGGTGGTGGAAAAGGTATCCCAGTTCAGTGTGCTACACAACAACCAGATTCCTCATGTTTGTGCAGAAGAGACATCCTGGAGAAGGTTTTGGAGCAGTTCTTGCATTGGTATTTTTTCACATCCGAATGGGTCTGTAGGTGAGCCCTGAGATTGGACCTGTCCGCAAACGCCCTGTTGCAGTGAGGGCAGGAGAAGGGCTTCTCTCCTGTTGGAGTAGAAATGAGGGAAGAAGTTTGTCAGTGATTGCACACACAGAGACATTGTGGACTATATATTTTTGTAATGGTTGCAACACAGTTTAGAAGGCAAGCACTGCTGATGACTCAAAAGGAGAAAAAGAAAATAAAAAAGAATATCAGTCTGAGAGTTCAGTCTCACTACAACACAGTGGGGAGCTGTTAGAACCACTACATCATATATCAGCATGTTGAATCTGCTCCTGATGAATCTAAAGCTGCTTCTTCACACAGCAGGCCCCACTCTTATCACCAAGTCAACTCACCAGTGTGCGTCCTGATGTGTCCCTGGAGCAGCCACGGTCTGGAGAAAGCTTTCCCGCATATTTTGCAAACACAAGGCAAGGTGTGAGTCCTGATGTGCATTTTGAGAGCCCCCAGGCTAACGTACTCCTTCTCGCAGTATTTACAGCTAAAGGATTTCCTCGTTTGGGCGTCGCAGTGCAGCTGCTTGTGCTTGAGCAGTCCAGAGTACGTGGAGTAGGATTTACTACACAAACTGCACTGGAATTTCTCTGCCTCAACTCCGTGAGGGTCTGTTAGCTTGGGCAGCATCTGCTCGTCTTCATCGCTCCTCGGGCTCTCGGAGCCGCTGTGGTCTTTAGAGGAGGTGTCGGAGAGCGATGAGGGGTATCCAGAGATGGGAGAGAGGTCACTGGGGAGCGGAGATAGCGGCAAGTTGCTGGTAGTCCACACTGTGATGGGGCTGTACGCCGCCGGGCTCAGGATCTCAGGCTGGGGGATGACTGACAGGGGAAGAGCCTTGTAGATGTGCGGTGTGATGAACACTGGAAAAAAAAGACAGCAAGGGTTATGAGATGTTTGGCTGTCATGACTTCAGTGAAAAGCACAGATTTCAAAGTAGGTAGTCCAGTGAGTTTGAAACGAAACTAACTTCTGCAAAGTTAAAAAACAAAAGAACATGAAACGCGTCTGCCTGTGGGAAACACAACTTTTTAAACTTTTTAGAAAGTGAACACTGCTGCTTTATTTCTAAAAACAAAAAAACATCAAACGAAACTTTACCTGCTGGGCTTTCCAACTCACTATAATTTGGCTTCTTTGCGGAGTTTATGTGTTTCTTGACCAGAAAGGAGCGTGGCATCTTGGAAAACAAGAAGTCAACTTTTGGCAAACTTTTTTTTTTAGTTCTTAGTAAAAAGGAGATGAGCGTCAGTTTGCTGCGCGAAGACGGAAATCCTTATTGCTTAAGTCCAGTGGAGTGTCATCCTGCGTCGCTGCGCACTTGGAAACAGTGTAGCTGTAAAGAGCTGTAAATACTGCCTATCAGGTGCATGGGAGGAGCCACCGACTGCTATTTACATAAACTGGAAGCTCAAACCAATTACATTTCGTGTGTACCGCTGAACTGCAAAATGCGGGTTTAGCCTATGGTAGTGCTTGCACACCCCTAAGGGGCGGGGCTAGTGCCATTTATTCCAGTAAGACAGGTGCTTTGTGCATAGATGTGCAAAAACTTGGTTGTGATTCAAGCGTGCAAGTGGGTTAGTTAAGTGCAGTGAGATGAGGAAAAGGAGCAGAGTATTTTTTTTTAAAATATCGAAGTAACGAAAGAAAAGGAATTAGGACTTCAGGGTGACATAGATTAGCTACTTAAAATGCCATCGCTAATGCAATCACTGCACGGAGTGTGCACAGTGTCACTGATGATTGTTGTGTTATAAACCTCTGGGGACTTGATTATCCTTTATGGGTGGCATGCTTGAATTGGGGGAAGCTCCCACCAACACCAGCATGCATAATAATGTTGATGATGATAATAAATGGCTTGAAGGGAAAGGGGAGGTTTATAGTGCACACACATATTATTATATATGCATGTTTATTAACCAGGCAAGTGACTGCAGGAGAGTGCAAACCACCGAATGGCAAAACTGCATGCTGCCATCCACATTCTCATTCACTGGCTAAGGCAAAGAGTGGTCCCTTTCTAATGCAGTTTTCTGCGGGGAAAGCCACACATTTCCTTGCCAATAATGCAATAAGGCATTCATCCTTTAAATGTAAATTTAAGTGTAGTTCCCTCTCAAGGTCAGCATCATACCATAATCAAATTTATCCCTGCTGCTGCTGAACTGGAGAGGGAGAGGCAAACTTAGCAGTGTACGCCCCCTTGTGTTGGAGTCAGTTCTAAGAGACAGGGTGTGAGTCTTACATCTAAACTAACAGGGCAGGAAAAAAAAAGAAACCCACAAAGGCAAAGGCTTAGCTATGGTGATATTGAAAAGCAGCTCCTGGAGCACTTTGATTGGCTGGGTCAGCAGATATGAAAAGCTCCTTATGTCTGGGGCAAGCCTTAAGTTAATTGTGAACTGCTTATCTTATCTAGAAAACATAATTGCAGATCATGAATAGTTTCCCTTTGTGCCTGCTTGGATTATAAAGGGAAGGGAAGGTTATCTGTGCATAATAACTCCCGGCTACTGTCACACATTCAGCACTCTGTAGGCACGTAGGATGGGTGAGAAATGGTGGTGTTTGGTGGTGATCCAGCAGAAAACATTGTGCACTGTAGAAGGTAATGCTTTGAAATCAATATTACCCAGCAAGCAAGTGAAGCACTGCGTGCATGCTTAGGTGAAAAATGTCTCCTTGCAGTTTTCATGCTTCAGTTATGTTCTCTGCATTCAGAGCATGAGGATGCTGTTCTACTGACAGTAATGAAGGAGGGTGGGCAGAAGCTCGGGGCTCAACTGAAATCATATCACTAATTCTGAAAAGCAGAGGCTGTACTTCATGAGCTCTAAAATTAATTAACGGAGAGGAAGCCTTGAATCCTTGGCCCTACATTATGTCAAATCAGGACAGTGTAACGCCAGCAAAATAAATAAATAATTAAATGTGCTCGGTTAAAATGTGAACAGGACCGTGTGGTCAAGCACAGGTGTTTTCTGCCACACCGTCATGTTTTTCATTGCAGTTGAGTGCGATCCATCAGGACAGTGCAGGTTCAAACTGTTTTCCCAGTGTCACGTTTTCATATCACAACCAAAGAATTTTCCCCAGCAAATAGGAAATGATCAATGACTCTCATCACATTTGAATTCAAATTCAATTTCCAACCAGTGCACGAATATGTTATCACCATTTTCCTAATGAGCCTTTCCCACTTTGGACCAGTGAGGAGAGCACAGACGAGAACACGTACGCACGCACAGAAACCTCTCATGTGAAATAACTGCAGCTGTCCTCGTTTTGGCACATAACTGTCTGTTCGTGCAGACCCTCATCGCTCATAGTAAGAAGCTGATTAAGAAAATGGGTATAGATCCATTGCTCCACCTTTGTTGTTGTTGTTGTTTTTTTACAGTCCAGTTTTTGATGGTGTACCTAAAATGCAGATTAATCAGACACAGCGGCCAATTTTTCTTGATTTTAAAGTCTTTAGGGAGTGGCATACATTGAAATAACTTGTATGGCCTGCCTGCTAAAGCAGTAAAGCTGAGTCAGCTGCCATAATAGTTATGACAGAATTATTGCAAGTGATGGTGGAAAGTCTGAATTTTTAATGACATAGCCCTAGAAACTGTAAGTCAAATAGATTAAAGTTGTAATAAGGTCAAAATATCTCCAAGGCTTCTGTTGGGACCTACCTGAGGAATATATAAAAACATTAGTAAAGGTGTGAATTAGCTTTGGTGATAATGGATCACAGTTAAGCTTTTGAGGAGGACAGCCTTACTGCTGAAGACACCTATAGAGGCTGCTGTTGTATAGTGAAGTGTGAAGTCAGTGAGCACTTCCATTTATTATCTCCCAATCACACGTCTCCCCTTGGCATAGAGAACCAAGAGAGCAGCTGCAGGTTGCTGCAGCAGTACTGTGCCGTCCAGTGCAGCAGGTTTTGACCCTTAATTAACAAGCCTTAATTAACAGGCTGGAAATCCGGTATATGTGGACTTCAGACTGGAATGTGGTACGAGTGCTGCACAGTTTATGAGTAAGTGCTGCCCGAGAAGGCAGCTTGAAACGTCAGAGGAGTCAACTTGCTTCATGTGGGGAAACAGCGGGATCTTTCAGCTGGCATGATGACAGCATGGAAAATAAGGAGCACCTGGTCAGCCTGCGCAGCTGCTCACGAGAGGGCCTGAGGGAGAGAATCCAAATACTACCAAGTGACTGAATGCATATACAGTGTGTGTGTATGTGCATGTGCTCACTGACAGCAAAAACTGAGTCAGTGTCTGACTGTGCAAGACTGAGAAAATCCACCCATGCCTTTTTTCCCTTTTATAAACCATTCAGCTCAGAGCATTGTAACTCACGTGCGCCAATCATTTTTAAGAATGGTCTACACATGTAAGCAGACATGAAATTATGTTTTTCTTTTGGTCATCTGCACCAGGGCATAGCTTGGTAGAAAAATCTATCAGAAACTTGACCCTTTAATCTAAGCCTAACCTTATCCTGACCACAGCTTCAATCTAAAAAAATCAGTGATTCATGTCAAAGGGGCTTGCAAATCTTAGCCAGATCCCCACAATGTGACAGTTTGGACAGATTTATGTCTGCACAACATGTGCAATACTAATAAACACACACTTTTGGATTGTAGTTTCCAAATAATGAACCAAATACTAACCCCCCCACCCCCTATTTTAAAAGTGAGCAACGGCCACGTTGTCCTCACATTTCACAAATGTCCTCACATCCCAAGGTCTAAAATTCAAACCGGTCCTAACAAAGATAGACGTACGAGCTCACAAGCACACGCAAGCACAGAGGACCGCAGTGCACGCAAATGTGATTGGTAGAAATAATTTAAAAAATGCTTTGTGATATATTAGTGTGTGTAATGTGGGACAGAGCGACAGGGATCCCTGAAAACAGCAAAGAAAAAAGTAGAATCATGTAATATTTATGGATCCGGAGTTGTGCGGGTGCCTTGGGTAAACGAAGGCGATTGACGCGCGAGTTGAACCAGCCGCATGTGATCTCCAGCCTCAGTCATTTTGGCAGCGCGATGCGAGAGAGACAGAGAGAGAGGGAGAGAGAGAGACAGACGCGGAGCTATGAAAGCGGACCTTCTGCCAGAGATGTCGACGGAGAGGAATCCCTGAAACCACCGCTGCCCAGGAAATATGGACAAATCTGGTTCGGCGTGCGAGTGCGGGCTGTTTTCTGTCGGTTTTTGCATATTGCTACAGTGTAGTGGACCAGGATGCCGTGTGGGCGATGCTGCCACAAGGGATACGTTGTGATTTCGCAGAGATGTTTTAGCAACCGATGCATAAATTAAAATAAGAAGAAGAAGAAGGAGAAAAAAACAATCACATGATTGATTGATTGATTGATTGATTGATTGGAGTCCAAAGGAATCTAATAGGACATCACCACCTGTTACTAGAAAACCAGGTAAGCCTCACATACCTTTTTGTCGCTTTTACATTCACAGCCCATGACGAGCATTGGTACTTAATTATAATGTCCAGCATCTCTGAAATGAAGCATTAACCCACGCGCAATGCACTTTTTCTTGGTGGAGATGTTATTTGCGTTAATGGTGCGCTGAGATGTATCTGTCAGTCACCTATGGTGTAATGGATAATAAACCGTGGCATCCACCAATAGTTACGTTTGTGTGATGCAGTTAGCGGAACTTGCGATGGGCCTCGTGATAAATCAGTTTCCTTAATAGATGACATGCATGCGATATATGGGCTTGTAGAAACCTTTAACATTGGCTCGGTGCAGGTACACAGGCAGCACCCGCAGTTCCTCCAGCCAGTGCAGTGGCAGCAGACCTCCATAGTGCTATTCAGCTGCGTTAAAGTAGTCTCTTTGCCCTGGATGCCAGTAATCGACAACATTCCCACTTTTCTTTTAAAAAAAAGGCCATTTTTACAGCTCAAACGTCACTCAACTATTCGCAAATCCATCATCATCCCTGTATCCTCTTTCTCGAGCCTTCCCAGCTTCTGCTTCTTACAGAAAGCATCAAGGCAAAGGTCCATCTGTGGTAAACCTGAGGAGTATTTCAGCCTGCTGCTGCTGCTGCTGATGAGGATGATGCTGCTGGCCCTGTGTGCTTTATTAGCTTCGCAGAAAACTCTTGAATCCCTGAGTGTTTCACAAAATTTACGATGCCTCTCTCGCTATAAGCTGGTGTGGCAGGGTGCTTACAAGGAAGGCTTGCTTTTAATCCATTATGGGCTGACAGACAGTCAGTGCAGTGTGCATCTATGGAGCTCACTGAGATGTAGAAATCAGGCTTCACCTCAGTGCTTTCAGGCTTGTAGCCTCAGTGTGTCCAGCTCGCTGCTCGTACAGGCATATTGAGCTGAGCTGCTCCATTCCCTGGTCATAGGTCAGGTGCAATCTGTTTGATATACTGTGGGTCTCACTTCTTACGGAGGGGACACACACATTGACATGTCATTGATGATTTTATGTCCTAGCACATGCCTCCCTCCCATCCCGTTTGTGCTGATGTTCTAAATCAAAAAGGTGTTGGGTCAAGGTGGCAGAGGTACACTGTCAGGAAATCGGGCCTGAGTGAAACGCTGTCGCTCATGTCTGGTCCATATGTCAGGCGCGAGATAGCCAGGGACAAGTTGTTTGAATCCTCCACGCTGCTGTGTTGCTCTCCGGATCTGCTGATAACTGGAGACTAGACACTGAGTTGTACCCAACAAAATCATGATCTAAAACCTTCACACATACACACACACTGTTGATTGATTTGGAAACAATGTCTGCACTGCACAACCAAGTGTTCCTCCACACACTAATCAATAATCTGCTGTTCCTCCTGCAGCTGTATCCCACTGGGTCATTTAAAAATTGGGACTAGTTAAACGTCTTGAAATACACAAGTGGGAGAAGCCGTTCTAAGGCATCACTAGAAGCAGGGAATGTACACATTGCCATTAATTATACATGTTAACACATTCGAAGTGCTGTTATACTCCCCCAGCATTAGCCAGCAGCTTGATATGTAATAAGAGTTACTCTGCATATTCAAGGGTTCCACTTTCTGTACTCTAAGCGAGGCAGAAGTTCATTTCTTTAAAATGCCACATGGCTTTATTCAGTGACCTATTTTGATCATAAAAATGAGTGCCGGGCTGAAAACGTAGCACAAATTTCTTGACAACGGTGGCAGAGGAAACTCAGATAGTGGCAGCCAGGGTAAGGAAAATAGAAGGTGAAAATGAAAACATTTAAAGGAAGTGTTTTAGTCCTTCTGACATTTTACCTCCAGCAGTTGTTCTATCTGAAAGGCATTTGAAAGGCCGGACATCTTCATTACAATCTAGCCCCAGAGCCCAAAAAGCAGAGAGGAAAAATGTATCACACCTGATGTGTCTGTGGGGCTTTTACAGCGACTGTTTGTCCAGCCATCCATACGAACTGCTCCAGATGTTGAATCCACAGAGGAGGAGCCATATGCTTTTATTTGCAGCGTGATGTATGAGCAGCGCAAATAAAAAGAGAACTGTATATATTTCTCTCCGAGGGAGCGCGTGGGGAAAATATATTAGTGGTCTGTGCCACAAAGTCACTGTCATGCAACAGGAAAACCATTAGTCTGGCTTAGCGGAGACTGATGGCTAATGAAGCAAATGCGCACCAAACTCTTCATGGCGGGGAAGACAGAAGACACAACTCTCATTTATATGCACCTCATATACCAGCCCATCTGATTTAGAGCTTTGAGACTGCAATGTAGACTTAACTCACTGAAAGCTACACCTAGATGATGACTGCTTTGAGAAAACCAATAAGAGCTTATAATACCAATAATGATAAAATGAGACAAGCATGCTGGAAGTAACAAAACCCAGTGTAGAGAACCTTTATACCGGCACGAGTGGATTTCTGTTGAGGGTAAGCAGTGTTTCCTTTGTGCTTTACAACCTGTAAGGAGCCCAGGCTGGACAATTTTAGGTCACATTTGATTAATGTGGAGAATCTGCTTGTTCATTAAGCACTGCTGCCCTGACAGCACGCCAGAGTCGCAAATCAGCCTCAGTGGAAGCAGATCCTGTGCACTGTAAACTGCGGTGTTGTGTTTCCTTGTGAATGATTTGCAGTTCATTCAACATGTGAATAGTAAAATAGGGCAAACATAGTAAAACAGCCCTCAGCTGCACAGTTTTTACTTACAGTTGTGGAACAATTTTATGGGCCCAACTTAAACAACTGTGGATCGGTGCGCACCACAAGTTTATGTCTGGGTGAAGCAGCTAGTCAGCCAAAGTTATTTTATTTAAGCCATGAAACACCGTGGCGTCCACTCATGCAGGAATAACTTCAAGAGCTTCAGCAGCTGTAAATGATAAAATATAGATACATTTATTACTGGAATACGTGATATCAAAGGGGAAAATTAGGGACTTTCATCCGGTTCTCGAGTACATCCTTCCACAAAGAGCAGAAAAGGAAGAACATATAGGTTCTCTAAAATTAGATAATAAGCAGCCTGGAAGGCTGGCTGGTCTTTGGTACCTACTGATTAAAGATGCCTCAGCAGAGACCTCAAGGTTAGATCATTGCACTCCTGCAAAGGCTCCACCAAGCATGAGCCTTATAGATCTCTCCAGAGTAGTGAGACATCACCAAAAAAAATCAAACTTTAATACTGCTACAGCTTCTCGATTGTGAGGATTTACTGTTTTCTTCTTGTGTTTTAAATCATGTTGACTTTAATGCATTTTTGAAGATATTACTCTGATGAGCATTTTAAACTATTTCCCCATATTATATAGAATTAAATGTTTGTGGATAATGCAAAGGGATTTTTTAAGAGCAGTTTTCTGGTAAATATGTTGCAGATCAAATGACCACAGAGGAATCATTCATATCTCTGTGGCTTTTTCCTGTATTAATTCATATAAAAATCTTCCAAACAGAAGATTTACCCATGCACAACATACATATACGCTCATCAATCCCCCTACCCGATCCCAAGATAGTAATTTTCACATCACACATTATGAGTTTATAAATAATTTGTCCAAGCGTTTGAGAGATGGCTCTATACTTTTCTACTTTATATTTAGTAAGTGAACAGCTGCGTCCCTCGACTGTGTAGCATCATTTCAGCGTAGCCCAGCCTTCAGCAATATGCTGAGCTTTTTAATCCTTTCATGTACTCAACACACAGCATGGTGCCATTTCCAGGCCCCAAAGTCCTCCCCTGTGAGGCACTCCAGGCTTCATTGGTTAAAATCTAAAAATGATGACATGCACATTGTATATATATTTAGGATCTGTTCATAATTAGGAGAGTGAATTCTATTATTCAGTGTGGTATAAAAGCTGTGGCATTCATTTGATGAACCCAATTAAGACCCTCGTGTACGATATCATGCTTGAATTGCCCAGCCTATTTATCCTTAGGCATTGCATCATAATGTCATGTGTAATATATATTAAAAAAATGCAATTCAATTAAAGAACCTGTCAGCAGCAACCATGCTGCGGGATCGGTTTAGTTTAGAGTTTGTTATCCATCGTGTGCCTGTTTCTGCCCCCAGATATCCAGCGATGTAATAGGGAACCAGTTTGTGAGATGATTCTCACTGATTTAAGTTGGCACCTACCTGATATCTGGTGGCTCCCTGCTGCCAAAAAACATAAATCATAGTCAGGAAGGTCATGAGCTCAGTCTATAAATGTGTCTATCACTAATTTACTCCTCTGCCTATCATTCACGAGCATCTGGCATGAAGAGTGCCGCTGGCTGTAACTGGAGATCTCAGGTATCGACTTACGAGGTAATAAAATACGTTTTTTTTTTTTGACAAATACGCTAAAAGAACTGAAAACGTGGGGAGATGCTCTTTACATCTCGCCCCAATGATCGATCTCCAACGTAATCAGAGAAAAAAGAAAGAAGTGTAGCACCTCCAGCGTTACACTAAAACAGGCCCTGTTGAATACAAGATGTACTCTGTAAATACGCAACTGTTCAAACAGCTGCCTCTTGACATGAGCCTGTTCACTGCTGGAGTAAGGCTGAGGGCTGAGCTTATTAGCGTCAGCAGCAGACAAGCCAGCACACAACAGTTTTAGCACAATTCTTCGTGTCAAAACCAAATAATCAGTCAGCAGAGAATTATTCTGGCTTCAGAGTTGTGTCCATTTGTTGTTACTGCTTCGAGCTGCCTGCTGTTATTATGAAAGTAACAGTTGATTCACAGATTATCAAAATTCATAGATTTTAGCTTCTCAAATGTAATTGTTGCTGCATTTTTGGTCTTCTTTGGTAGAAAATGGAATTTATTTGGGTGATGGATCATCGATCCCAGAAACTTCAGTGCTTTTTGTATTTTAATTTTTGTATTTATATTTGTATTTTAGAAGACAATTATAGCTATAAAGTCAAGTGTAGTAAGGTGAAGGTTTTC